GGGCTTTGATGACGTACACGGTATGAAGGACGATACCCCTTGGCCTCGACACCACGTCTAGCCGCACTTAGCAAGCTGCCCCGAACTCGAAGTCACGACGCCAAAGTTGCCTGCCCCCCCTGGAAAGTCCAAAACAGGTCTGTTCTTCTTCTCACTCGCTGTGACGGATTTACCATCGGGCGTCACGACGTCGATGCCGAGGACATGGTCAGCAGAAAGACCGTACAATGGGCCGAGAGGGGAGTGCGCGCCACCAAATGTACCCTCCTCCGAAGCCGACAGTCTTGCCCTCTCCTCCAGCCACAACGACACTATGCGCATCCGCAGCTTCGTAAAGTTCGTTGATATTATCTCCACCCCCAACCTCATCGTAGACCTTGTGTGCATTGGGGTGTTGTAATCTTCGTAGAACTCAAGTCCTTTCAGCTTGTTCCTCCAAATTTATATCGCACCAGAACCCGTAGATTGGCCGTTGAAGTCGTGGCCGGTGTTTGTGACCATAAGGCGCAAGGTATGAGTGCGGGCAAAGTTCGCCGCAAGCTGCATCTGGGCTACTTTGCTCGCTGCAACAACTTACTCCGGACATTCTCCCAGTGCAGTTGGTGGAATAGTTCTCAGAAGGGAGGCACGCGAGCCCTTAATAGAAGAAACTTGTTACCGAGGTCGAGTTGGAAATGTTGAACAGGAGTATCAGCTCAGATGGTGCGCGTGGTAGGCCTATGTCCCTAAAGTTGACTCATTGCAACATCGAGTTGTTTTATCTAGTGCTGATGACGCACTCGGCGGCGTCCTGATTACCGAAACCATCCACGTGTGCGGATGCGAGAGAAACAATCTTGTTTAAAACGTCTCCCAGAAGCAAATCGAAAGCTTTCCAGGAACTTTCGTTGGGCCAAAGGAGGTCACCGGGATACAACTTGCAGCGCTCAGTGGCACGCTTTTGAGATGAAATTTGACGTTTTCCAGTGGTGTTGCCGCCGAACTGAAAATATGAGATTTCAGTGAGAACTAGCCTTGTGCGGTTTACAAGAGCTTGATCCGTTAGTTGAAGAGACTCTTCCGGGAGAAAATCTTCGGGGACGTAGCTGACGGGCGGGGCAACGTTTTCCTTCGTTGCGTTTGAAGTGCGTGAGATGATATCCAACCCAGAGCCCGTCTTTCAGAAATTCACAAACTGTAACCCCATCGACAATGATGGTCCATGCTGTGGCTTGTTGGTTGATAGAAGCCACTGCAAGTGAATGTAGGACGCGTTGAGCTGCATGATTGGTTCTGCAACAGCTGGCGAGAACACTGAACGAACCGAAGAAGTGTAGGTCGGGAAGTAGGAAAAACAAGTTAGAGCTATAAATCTCCATGCATCATGCAGGCCATGAGATTAACTAAGAGGGAGACAGACGAGGCAAACAGAAGCCAAATGGCAATCGATTCGTTATGTTGAGAAAAAGCATTGGCTTTGGAGGACTTTGGGCCGTTGATAGCAGACTCACAATCTGCCAGGGTCACAGGGGATAACCAACGTCTGCACCAGTGAAGGCGCCCCCGAGTACTGTTCCGAATCTATACTGAATGCCAACCCCGGTCGGCATGGAAATTGGGTCTGAATCCCGGGTAGTGGGGCCGAAGATGGCCGACTGAAGCGGTGAAAATGACTCGTTTCCTGCAAAATCCGGCACACTCGTACGCAGATCTGCCTCGGCTTGATGGGGCTTGCAATCTTAAACGGCCGCAGCTCATTTGTCTCCGTGAACACGAGCACGGTAGCTGTGCTGAACTGCTGATCCCACTTGGCGGTGCGAGCCATGTTGCGCGAGGGCTGCGTAGCCCAGCCAAGCTCAGTCTCTGCCATCTGGATGTTAGATCAAAACATCTATAGCTTTACAGATCTTTGGAGCTGATAATCAACTTCGCTTCTTTTTTTTTTCTTTTGTTTTTCCTCCTTAAGGATGGAAAAGATACGCGCAAGCAAGAAAATTGAGGCTAGACCCAACTCTCAAGCGGTCTCGTTTTCTCTTTCGAACACGTTAGGTCCGACAAAATCCCAGGCCACGTGGCTAGTAAGTCCAATTCCGTAGACCTACCGGATACATCCGGATAACAACAGCATGGGGTTATCGCAAGGTAAAAATTTCGCAACACTTTGTCATAAACCTTGTCGACATCGCTTGCGTTGGTTTCCCAGTACTGCTTGCCGCAGAAGTCACTACGAATACAAGGGGCAGTCGAACCCTGGCAGGAACAGTCCTCGTGTGATTTTAAATTTCCAGGGCCTGGAAAATTCATCAACAGACCCAATCTTCTGATGCGTTGACTTGGCTGTCCGTGTAGCCATCTGGAATGCAGTCTCTGGGTCTATTGCATCCTAACTCAAGTTGCTACGATACTGCGATTGAATGCTGCTTGACACGGAATAAGTTCTCAACTCGATCCATTCCGTTTGGCGCTTTTGTTTTTTTGTTGTAATCTATACTACGAGTAGATGGTGCATTTCCAATACTCTCCACATATCACAGCGACGATTTCTCGCCAATGATCAGCAGTATGGCAGCACCCTCTGCTGCTGGAGTGCTAGTATGCTTCCTACCTTTTCAGCGGTGAAAGTTTAGATGTGGCGAGGCTGACATTGAGATCACTGTTGTTAGGGCTGCTTGTTCACGCTCCTCGGTTTGTCAGGTCTTCTCATCCTAGCACGACTGTGGCTTCGGCTGCAGATCCAGTCACAGCCTCTCGCACTCAGCGATGGACTTTTGGTCATCGCATGGTTTAGCTGTCTAGCACAAGCTGTTCTGGTTATTCTTATGCGCAACGAAGACGTACTGCATCCTGATATCAATTACACCCTCTTCAACTGGGAGGCCGACCCTGCTAAGGTTGAACATGTGAGAAAGGTGAGTGAAACACGCATGCATCCACTTGAACCCAATATCGGAAGAGACTCATGTCTAGAACTCAGTTAATCTGGGTGACCATTTTCCCCTTCTTCAGCGCTCTTTACTTCTGCAAATTTGCACTACTCGCGACATACCTCCAATTATTCCCACCATTTATGACGGTCTTGCGCAAAATGCTTTACGCCACAATTGTCTACTGCGTCTCGGGTTATATCGTTTCGATTTCATTACAGTTATTCCTTTGCTGGCCCATCGAGCGTAATTGGTATGGTGACCCTTGAAAAGCCCTTCCCCTAGTCTCTTGCTTAATGCTGCCTCTCCAGGTCGTTCTTGAACCCGTCAGGTCTCTGCAGCATCCAAATCATGACAACTATCTTCCATGTGTCGTGGGCATTCCATTTCAGTGCCAATCTATGCAGTTAGTCGAAAGTTCCGCTGCCAGGCTTCCACAAGTGAGTGCTAACGAGTGTGGGAAGTACTGGCTATGCCATTCTTCATTCTCAAGGGTTTACAGATGAAGAGAAGCACCATGATTGGCATTTATACAACTTTCGCCCTGGGTCTGATTGATATTGCCGTTAGCTTAGCGAGGTTTTTGAGTATACAACTTGAGCCAACGTCCTCAAAATCGCTCACCATGATTCGTAAGCTTTCTCCATCAGTTTGGCTCAAACTTGAGCCTATACTTACTTTCAAGATACCCCTGGGACTTCAAGTGCTAACAGACATCTACTCAAGAAATATGGGCTATCCTTGACGAGCACATTGCGCTGATAGTTGCTTGTATCCCATCATTACGTCAATACCTCCGACTACGGTTTGACGCTAACTCTGCCGCTAAACGGTCTTACGGTCATAACCACAGTTTACATAACAGACACCACGAAGCCAATCCAAGACCAGGAGGTGACGACGAGAGCGGCATTGAGATCAATAGACCTGCATTTGCAGAAACCTGCCGTTCAGGACGCAGAGGCAGAGAATCGGAAGACGATTCCTGGTCAGATGGGAAGAAGAGCAATCGTAGCGACGTGGAGCTTGTTCCCATTCAAGTGCGGGAAGGACAGAAAGGAAACGCGTCTCGAAGGACGCGTTCTGTCATCCGGGTCGATCAAGAGTTTACAATTACAACTACTGTAATGAGTCCGTAGTAATACTACCATCGAAGATCGAATTGTGCTGCCAGGCCTAAGCCAGATCGTCCTATACATCGCATTAGTTACTACTGTCTTTAGGAGCCAAAGCTCGCCAATGTGAGGCCTCTGAAGTGTGAAGGAATCGGAAATCTTGTTCGAGTACGTTATGAAATGTCCGGCCGGCGCCACGAGTTCGACAATATGGACTTCACCGGCAAAGAGTCATACAGTGTTCAGCTTTCGTTTCACGAAACCCCGTCTCCAGATACAACTTGGGATTGAGGCTACATCCCCATTTCCCAACCAACTGATCAACGCTGTCAATGCCTCTCGTGCCCTGTGATATTATTAAAGTCTGGTCAAGGTTACTCAATCATTTCACGAAACAATGTCTGTCGGCTACAACCTCCTAGACACACTACTCTGTTGCCTGCAAAACAGCCTGCCTGCGTCTATTAGTATTTCAAGCCAATCGATTATGTGCAAAGCTTGGCAGCACTGCCATCTACTTACCCAAGGCAGGTTGTCGGGCGAAGAATCAGCAGGTGGGTGGCAATGCAAAAGTCAGGGGTGGTTAGTGGGACCTTCTACCAATAACACATGCAGCAGACGTGAAGGTGGCACAGTCGCTGTAGTGAGGCAGACCGGGTGCGGGTTGGATCAGGCTGAACGGTACGGCAAGATCCATTTTATCCTTCCATTTCCGTCATAATTTCCGCCGCTCCTGCGTATTCTCATGATTGCTGCAAAAACGCATCGTGGACCTTCACCGCCAAACTTGCCGAGCCCTTCATACCACTCTCATCGGACCTAGAGTGGAAGCCCGATACCTCTATGTGCACAGTAAGGAAGTAGCAGAATGCTCAACGAGCAAATTGACGCTGACATCCTGCGCAGCCTGGCGTACAACGCCTTGTCCATTCGCGCCTCCCTCCTTCTGTGACGAAGTCGGTGCCCCCGCATTGCTGTTCAAATGGAGCGGAAGCGGAAAAGTCTTCATGGTAACCCCGACTATGAACCACACGCGCATCTCGATAAACGATACCACGTCGAACGGGAGCCAAGACCCAGACTCAGCCGTCACGAATATACTGTCGGCTGGATCTGCGCCGTAGTTACGGAATACGTTGCCGGACAGGCGCTGTTGGACGAAGAGCACGAGCGCCATCACGATCTCCCCTTGCATGATGCGAGCCACTATACACTGGGCAGGATTGGGCCGCATAACGTTGTCATGGCCGTGCTGCCAGAGTATGGCACATCAGCTGCGACAGCCGTCGCAAGGGATATGCTACATAGTTTTCCCAACGTCCAAATTGGTTTGATGGTGGGCATCGGTGGTGGCGCTCCAACCCAAAAAAACGATATTCGCCTCGGAGATATTGTGGTTGGCACTGCTCGTAATGGGCAGAGCAGCGTGGTTCAGTACGACTTCGGAAAGGCCGTACAAGGTCAAAGCTTTCAGCAAACCGGTTTGTCGAACCGGCCGCCATGGCGCTTGAGCACCGCAGTCAACGGACTCCAAGCCCGGCACTGGAGAGACGGGCACCAAATCGAGGAGACTATCAACGCCATTCTTGATAATAAACCTAACTTGAGGTGCCACTACTCCCACCCAGGCTCGGACAGCGACAAGCTGTACCGAAACGATGTCATCCACCCTTCAATGTCTGAAGGGCCCTGTGCCGAAGTTTGCGGGTATGATCCTTCGAAGCTCGTGGACAGACCTGCGCGGGCTGTGGACAAGCTTGTTGTTCATTACGGAGCCATTGCCTCAGCCAATCAGGTGATGAAGGACGCCCTGATTCGCGACAAACTTGCCATCGAAAACAATTTCTTATGCTTTGAAATGGAGGCTGCAGGCCTTAGCAACACCCTTCCTTGCTTGGTTATTCGCGGCATATGCGACTACTCGGACTCCCACAAGAACAAGGCATGGCAAGGATACGCAGCCATCGCTGCTGCTGCATATGCGAGAGATCTCTTGTGTGAACTTAGTCCGCTATGTTCTCCCACGTCAGCTCCGACATCAACTCAGTTGCGCAAGTTGGAGGTTGCGGCTGATGGGGAACAACACCTGATTGACGAGCGGAGAACGCAACTGCTGGAATCATTGACTTTCGACCAGATTGATGCTCGGCAAATGACTATCAAGAGAGCGCACGCTAGAACATGCAAATGGGTGCTGAGAAGTTCTCAGTATCTCGACTGGCTGGATCATAACAAACGCAACACACATCATGGTTTCTTATGGATCAAAGGGAAACCAGGAACAGGGAAATCGACGTTGATTAAGTTCATCTCCACAAATCACCGGAGGAAAATGCAGCAAAACACTTTAATCACCTTCTTCTTCAACGCACGAGGCGAGCAACTGGAGAAGTCCACAACGGGAATGTACAGATCGCTGCTTTTCCAACTCATTGACGGTTTTCCTCAGCTTCGGACGATCTTGAACTTTCAGGCTCTGAAGATATCAAGCAATGGACCTCGCGAGTGGATCCTTGAGTCACTGCAAGACCTTTTCGAAGAGGCAGTCCTGAACCTTGAAAATCTATCCGTGACTTGTTTCATAGACGCACTGGATGAGTGCGACGAAAAGGAAATTCGAGACATGGTGTCTTTTTTTGAGCACCTTGCCGAAGCTACCACAAGGGAGAGCGTCTGCTTTCAGGTCTGCTTCTCGAGTAGACATTATCCTTACATCACGATTTCGAAGGCAGTCAGCCTCGTTCTTGAAGGACAGCAAGGGCACCAGGATGACATTGCCAACTATGTGAGCAGCGAACTGAAGATCGGGGACAGTAAAGTCGCCCAGCAGATCCGCCATGATCTCCAAGAAAAGGCGTCCGGAGTTTTCATGTGGGTTGTTCTTGTTGTGGATATTCTCAATAAGGAACATGACGGCGGTCGCATGCATCAACTTCGAAAACAACTTCAAGATATCCCCGGCGATCTCAATGAACTTTTTCGAGATATCTTAGTCCGCGATGATCGCCGCAGGCGCGACCTGCTTCTATGCATTCAATGGGTGCTCTTCGCAAAGATCCGCTGAGCCCAGAGCAACTGTACTTTGCTATACTTTCAGGAGACGAGGCTCATACTGACGCCTTGTCTGACTGGGAATCAGAGGGTATAACAACGGATACTATGGAGCGGTTCATCCTTGACTCATCTAAGGGCCTCACTGAAGTGACAAAATCAAACGCCCCGAAAGTCCAATTCATTCATGAGTCAGTGAGAGACTTTCTTTTGAAGCACGATGGACTGAGTCAAATTTGGGATGAGTTTGGGAGTAACTTGAGCGGACAATGTCATGAAAGATTGAAAAGCTGCTGCATCAACTATCTGAATGTTGCCAAATCCATGGAAATTGGCAAGACTCTCCCTCAGATCTCATCCGAGGAAGCCAAAAAGCTGCGAGAATCGGCAGAGAAAAGATTGCCCTTTCTGCGATATGCAGCGCAGCAGGTTCTATATCATTCCGACGCAGCTGAAGAATCAGAAATCAGCCAGATTGACTTTCTTGAATCGTTTGATCTTGCTGGCTGGATCATCTTGGACAATCTCTTCGAAAAGCACAAAATACGTCGACACACCCCTAAAGCCAGCCTCTTGTACATCCTAGCCGAGCAAAACAGAGCCAATCTCATTGGTGTCAACTGCTCAAAGCTGGCATGCTTCAAGATCGAAGATGAAAGGTATGGGGCTCCAATCATTGCGGCCATGGTCACAGGGAGTTTTGATGCTGTACATGCATTCTTGACAGCTCACAAGGAGATCAATCCCACCAGCTTAGCACTCAAGGAATTCTGCATTTTAATTGATCAGCGAAGGACCACATTGAACAAAATAGCTCGCAGCTTCAAGTTTGAAGCAAAGAAGGGCATTCTTTGCCATTTTCTTGAGCTTGGCAACGATATGGTCACTGCACTTCTGTGTGAGCTGGGGGAGGTCGGGGCTGGTGTTTCAGACTACCGACTCAGGACGCCATTACCATACGCCGCTCAAAGGGGCAGTCTCAAAGTCTGTCAATTTCTACTTGAGGCTGGCCAGTTTGACATCAACCAAGTGGGCTATCGGGATCGAACGCCATTCTGCCTGGCTTGTGGCGGTGGACACGACGCTATTGTTAAGCTGCTCCTTGAAACTGGTCTAGTCGATGTTGAGCACAGCGGCACTCATAAGCGGACACCACTCTCACATGCATCTGAGAACGGACATGACGCCGTTGTCAAGATTCTTCTCGAGACTGGTTTAACGCATATCGATGATAAGGACATATATGGCCGAACACCATTGTCATATGCCTCTGAGAACGGGCACAATGCTATCGTCAAACTACTGCTAGAGACAAGTCCAATCGACGTGGATTCCAGAAGTGGCTCGGGTCGGACACCGCTATCTTTTGCTGCGAGACATCCTTCGACTATCATGATGTTGCTTAAAACCGGCAAAGTCGATATAAACTCGAGGGACAATCATAATCGAACGCCGTTCTTCTATACTGCGTTTTATAGAGCCCCGGAAAGTATGAAGATCTTACTTCAGACTGGTCTGGTCGAAAAAGACTTGAACTTGAAAGGTTCCGACGGCCGAACACCGCTCTCATTTGCCGTATACAGTTTAGAATGCGCCAAGATTTTGCTTAACACTGGTAAGGCTGAGGTGGATTCTATTGATGAAGCAGGTCAATCGCCACTCTCGTATGCTGTCATTGGAGGTGACCTTGAAAGCGCAGAGCTATTATTGGGTACTGGCCAGGCTAGTCTCCATACAAGAGGCAGGGACGGACTGACACCTTTGGCTCATGCAAGCCGACTAGCTGGTTCGAATAGAAGAGAGGCAATGGTAAAGTTGCTTGGGAATAGAACCTAGTTCTTCGATAAATATACAAAATGTCCAACTTAAATATGTCAATCCATCATTTTATGTGGGTGTATGACCACTAGGTAGCGTTGGACGAGAACAAACATTGTCTCCACCCGAACAACACAGGCAGGACCTTACATACGATGACTGCCCTAATTCTTGCACGCGATCTCTTCCCCGTTTCAATTAATCGGCAAACAAGCCACCAGCAGATGTTGTTAAGCTAAATAGGAAGCAGCTTCTTGTATTCTCCTATCATTGCCTGCTCTATGAGGTCAGGAAACTCGATACTTACATTACCTGTGCCAAACACGTGTATAATACATTGAGATGCTTCTCAAATCCTGATAACCACCTTTCCAAAGTTCATCCTTCTCCACAGGCGCTCATACGCCATCTTCGTGTCTCCAAAGTGGAAGGCCTTAGTGTCCACAACAGGCTTGATCTTCCAATTATCGATGGCACGATTCATTTCGACAAACTGTTCCCGAGACCCGACGAAGATGCCCCGAATAGTGCAAATATGGTTCAGAGCTTCCATCAAGTTTGTCTGTTTGTCATTCTCAGCGAAAGTCAAGAAGCCAATTATCGTGATGAGGCCTTCGAGTTTGATTGCCTTCAAAGACTGGGCCACTGTGGCTGCTCCGCCAATCTCGAGGATATGATCGAAGCCAAGTCCCTTTGGAGTAAGGGCTCTGGCGGCATCTCCCCATTCGGCAACCTCTCTGTAGTTGATGACATGAGAGACACCCATCTTCTTCAGGATGTCGGCTTTTTCGCTAGAAGATGTAGTTGCAACGACTGTCGCTCCTGTCGCGACAGCGAATTGAATAGCAGCCAGGCTGACCCCGCCGGTCCCTTGAATCAGAACCCAGTCGTCCGGCTTCAGCTTCTTCAAACCGAAAAGAGCATTCCAAGCTGTCAAAGACGCGCAAGTCAAGGTGCTAGCCTCAATGGAACTCAAAGTCGATGGAGCAGTGACCAGGCCATGGTCAGGGAACACGACGTACTTGCGCAGAGTGCCATCAACGGCTCCGCCCAGACCACTACCCACGGCCTCGGGTGTGATAGGATTGGTCTGATGCAGTTCGTTGAACAAGGTGCAGACCTTGTCACCAGCATTGAAGCCTTTCACCTTGGGCCCAACAGCCAAAACTGTGCCTGCGCCATCTGAGCCCGCAATAACAGGCGTCTTCATTGCGAACGGATATAGGCCCTGGGATTATCAGCACTTGGGAAACAGAGGCCGATGAAAGTAAACTTCGGAAGCACATACTCTGGGGATGGCCAGGTCTCGGTAGTTGAGGGAAACGGCCTCAATCTGGACGAGGACGTCATGATCGCCTAAGGTGCTTACGGGAACGTCTTCGATCAGTTGAAGTCCGTCAAAGTTGTCGCTTCGAATGTCGGTGACCTTCCAGGACTGGGTCTTCGAGGGGAGAGACATTTGTGAGAAGGCTTTTGCAGCAAGTAGGGTCTCAAGAGAGGTGTGCAAGATGTTGCTTGTGTTTTAGAAACCACATATACTTGCTATGTTTGAAGAATCTTGCAAGCTAAATACTGTCGCTATTCTGCCAATTTGCTTTAGTCATTATGAGTCAGTTTGACACTGAAAGAATGGCGGACGGATATTGTCTCCCGTGGTGTAGTTTTGACGCCGTTCACACTCACTGCTGCTGTATCATGCGAGAGCCCGTGGAGCAAGCGGCAACTTGTTTAAACGCCGTTGATGAAATCGCCACCATGATCAACACGACCTAACATCAACTGATGAACGACAAAACTTTTCTCTGATTCTTGGCCTTACAAATGGCTCTCGGATCTGATTACAAATGCTGGTGATGGATCATGGAGAACATTGACCACTCTTCGACTACAAGGTATGCTCCATGCCTACGAGCCTGCTGCCCAGAACCTCTTCAGCAACACCGTGCCAACTACGTTCCATGTGCTCTCGACGATTTCTCCAATGCCAAGTAGAACTCGAAGAAAGTTGGATGTCAGAGATGAGGTTTCGCGTGGACGAATCCTCTACTGGGGTTTGTTGCACACAGTCATGTCTTCTGTCTCGGAAATGACAGCGACTGCCAAACTGCAAGTCTCTTCACTTGCCTCAGCAATCAATCTGCTCACCATAAATTTCTGCGATCATTCGAAAGTCTGATCTATCAGCCTTGTAGCACTTGTGAAATGCATCTCGAGTCCACATTTCCACTGAGATGGAACCTCGTGTGCGCCGGTTGGCATCGGTATCAGAGACTTCGATCCGAAGCTCGTTTTGCCTATTTCGAACTCTGGTTTCCACAGTCGACTAAAGTTAGAAGTAAAGTGTTGCTGATCGTTTCCCTCACCGTCAAACCTTGAGAACGTTCTCACGGCGTGAGCCTGTTGCATAGTCCATTCTGAATTCAAGATCGTAATCAGCGTGTTCAATGGAGTTTTTCGAAATATAGCATGGCCTGGTTTGCGACTTCGTTGCGGCTGCAGGTAGGGGTTGAGTGAATGCTGTCATCGAGCATCGTTCGGTAGTCGCTGGAATGTCAAGAGAGGTGAGCCCTCGCGGCGTAATCACCAAACATCTGAAGAGAGGGATGAAGCCGGTATAAGTAACCCGTGAGTCTTGCGCCCGCAGCCACGTGAATGGCCACGGCAAGCGCTCAGATGGCGAAGAGATGGTTTGAGTGGTTCTGGTCGGGTGCTCGGCCAAGACATGGATGGGTGAGAACGCCCGCAAGAACGCAAGTCAGTGGGACGATACCAGATTGACGGGACGGCAGGAGCAGGAACAGGTGTGGTCTAAGAACTCTAAAAGCTCCGTGCGGCCGCTGTGTGACGTGATGAAGAGTGTTCTAATAGTTCAAGATGGTCTATTTCGACTTCACTTCTCGAAACTATGATAGACCTGCGATATTAACAGTTTTGTTCGCGTTTGCGAGGGGCTGCTGGGCACAAAGTCTAGATCTGGCGTTGAGTTGATCTTCACTTAGAGGCATGCTTGGCAAGAATGATGGTCACCAGTCTATGGGAATGGCGGGGGATGAGATTGACCCCGAGGACAGAACGCGAGCAACAGCTGAATCAAAATGCGCCAGCGCACGGCCAGCAGGAGGGGCAAAGACGTGTCAGACAATCGGTGACCAGCTATCAGAGATTGCTGCGATATCTGCGGTATCAGACTATCTGCATCACAAGAGCAGAAAAGCGCTATCCGGCTTCTCTGAGCCGATGCAGTTCAGGCTGGGCGGGGATGGAAGTCGAATCAGGACGCGAATGGGGACGCGGATATGAGACGGTAGGGATTGTGGCGGTCGACCGTAAAGGTGCAGCATGACGGCCAGTTTCACGACCCGTCCTCTTACAAGACTGCACAAGTGCTCAATCGACGATGGAAAATATTGATTTCCTCATGTCTAGATAAGACGAGTGAATTTTATTGAATAGAGATGAGCTGGTGACGTTGAGCGCATGAAATAGATGATGAGGGGCATTTCCCGGTGGTCCATGTCTGGATGAACCCGACTGCCTGGGTTGGGAGCTGGACGAGGGCTCCGTAAACTGCAGCAGCAGGATAGATGTGCAATGTCACCCAACTGGCCACCTGCAATGCTTCCCTCAGGCTTCCTTCGGTCAAAGTTGGTCGACCGTCAGTCTTACATTCAACGGTCCAGTCCATTTCAACCGGTCGAGGTGGGAAGAGAAAGGGGGACATGGGGGGACCCTTGCATGACGGGCATGGGTTCGGTTGGTTCCAGCGGACCCTGGCTGGCCTTATCAGTGCCAAGATGACGCTAAACGCAAGCCTCCACCGTGCCGAGAGATAAGAAGCTTTGGCGAATGGGGAAGCACCTGTGAAGCAGCTTCTTTTAAAGGCTTCGTGGCAGTGGAGAGAGTCTTTCGCGGCGGGTGGGTGGAGGGAGGGTGGTGGTTCATGTCCTGTCACTTGGGAGATTGTCCACTGTCCACAAGGCAGCAGAAATGGAGCCAGACGCAGCAGCTTCCTATTAGCGTACCCTTCCTCTGGATACATAGTGAATACAAGACGCTTTCCGGGTGCTGCTATTGGAGAAGCCTCGGTCTGGGCATCCGGAGAAAAAGAGGTGAGCACTGGCCTTGGTTCATCCACTTCAAATCATTCAGCCCGTCCATGATCCATACTGCGTGCCACCACCATCGACAACATTCCCTCTTGATGGATCATATTGAACAACCATGAGACTTTGCCATCAAATGAGAGGTCTCAGAGGCAGTTCAATGTCTTGGCTTTAACATCTCCGTGCTCCATCCGGGCAACCATGACGACACTTTGGCTTCTTCCAAGACACCACCTCACACTTTTGGCTTGTGAAGTCGTCCATTGGGCGTTCTCGTCACCCGCGTCGTGGGCAATCTACGACGCCACAACCACGGCTCTTTTTTCAGCTCGGTAGGTGAAATCAACTAAAGCCATTATGGCTATCAATCGATATCCTCAAGGCTGCGATTCCCATACTATCGTGCTCTTAAGTTGTCCGCTGTCACCTGCCAATGGCCACCAGTCAGCCCCGTCATCCACGAGTCGCTTGGCTGCATCAGTCAACCATCGATATCCAACAGCCACCCCTTGGTTGAATAGATACACCATATCAGGCCACACTCAATGGCGTCTCTTAGACATTCCAATTACTTACCGCTCAACGTTCTTTGAGCACCCGCGGCCTGCCTATTGCACATGTGCCAGTGTCTTATCTATTGGTGGACCTGAAGGATTCCCGACATTTCAGCCTACGGCGCAGCAGCAGAAGTCAGACCAACAAAAGCAAAAGTCTTGCGTCTTGCAGGATCCTTCCAACGGTCCTGCGCGAATCAACGTGGCCAGCCGCTGCAATCAAAGCCATCCACGGAACCAGCCCCGGCCACGCTCGCCTAACCAACCCACCTTTCCGCTTCTGGGGCCCGACATATCCCCATCCAGCTCGCTCCGATGTAAGCTCAGATTAGCGATTCGGTCTCTGTCCACCGGCCCTGGGGCCTCCCAGACCGTCTCGCTGAGTGCACCTTTTGGACATCTGAGACCTAGCCCAGCTTCGGAGAGGTTTGGCACCCAAGTCGCGGTCCACGATTCAGCAAGGTCTGCGACATCGGGCTTTCTTCTTGTAAAGCCTTTCCCTCGGGGCATCGATGAATAGGCTCTCCGGTATCGTTGCTTCTTCCCGCACAAACGGGACCGGAAGCTATCTTCTCCAATGTCAAAACGCTCCCTCCTCATTGCTTTTCCGTCCCGAACGTCTCGATAGCTCAGCAGATGGCGCGAGGCTAGTCTTGTCAAACCTTAACGGCGGTTTGCTGACGATCCAAGCCTTCTCGCCGCGCACAGAAGCTTGTGGCTGCGTCAATGTATCTAGGAATCAGAACTGCTGATCCTGCCGGCAGCCAGCGTGGTCTGTCAACGCTCGATTGGTTGATATTTGTAGAAGCTGGAAGGATCAGATACAATGTCCGCCTGAACAAGCCGTACAACTCTGACACAGCTTTCCATGTTTGATGTCAACATTCAACGAGGTTGTGGCGTCGAGCAAGCTGCAAACCATCCCCCAGCCCTGTCGACAGGCACGGTCGCATGCATCCCTTCGCACACAATCGCTCGTGCGAAGATTTAAGTCGGTGCGATGACAGGCATCCTCCCATCAAGCGGCCCGCTTCAAACCAAGCCCCGTCCGAGTCTCCGATCGGAAGTCTTCTGGAATGCGGCAACGCGCAGGATTCGTTTGGCGCCTGGCTCTAATCTTGGACCAGTGCCGCTATGTGTTGTCAATGCTTCTCAGATAGCAGGCGGCGGCTAGGGATAGCAACAAATAACATCTTTGCTAGATTCAATGCTTGGACATTATTTTCGGATGGCACCACAAAGAGGTTCTTGCATCAAAACAACACGCAAGTCCACTGGAAAAAAGGCAATCCGATGCACGGCGATGCCTGCTGCTGCCCCGAACTCACCCCCACTCGGCCGTGGCCAGGAAGAGCCGGCGAGCGCGGGCTTACGAGGTGCCTTAAGCAACACGCAGGGAAGGGAAATGAAACACTTTCAATTGGCCGCGCGCCTCATGAGTGCATCTCTGCCGTTGCGGCTCGCGTTGCTGAGGCACAGAATGCCTCCTCATCGGTTTTCCTTCAATCTCAAAGTGTTCTGATCGCCTACTTCTTGCAGCCTTGGCTGTCTCGGGTCAGGCTGTTGCTTGCGCCAGCATAGTCTGGATCGTGTCGCAATCTGGGCGCTAGACGAGGAAAACTTTGTCCTGGTTTTCAGTGTTGCATTCAATGTCGACATACTCTCGAGCCCGAGGGACTACCTTGCGCTGCGGTGCAAGACCCCGAAGTTACCTACCGTTTCCCTACGAGTTTTCCGTGCCGTCCGATAAACAAACGAACAGCAACACCGGACGATGGGGCATCCAGACCCGCGGGCTGCTG